CTCCGTGTTCGGCACTGGTGTGCTGGTGTGTACCAAATTCAGCGGCCCTTGTGATTCATGCCAGACTGCCAGCGACTACCAAGGACGCTTTATCGTGACAGCATCAACAAGCCTTGTAGCTTCATCATATGCTTGCAGTGAATATGGATGCAGAGCAGGTGTCAAGGGTGATAGGGTGCTTTAATTGAATATACGCCTCTCTTAACCCTCGCATGTGTAGGGGGGTCGGATGGACCCCCCCCCCATGGTTTTTCGCAAATAACTCGCGTAAAAAGCGGCCGATCGCGACGAAACTTTCAGTACCCTCGCATTGATCAATTTTACACCTACCCTGAAAATTTCATGACCCTGACCCAAATGACCTTTGACCTGTGACCTCTTTTCCGAGACCATGTTTGGCCGGAATCGCGATTTCGCGTATGTCGGCTCGCACTAGCCGCGTGTTTGCAAGCTTTTCGTGGTTTCAAACGTTCAAACATGTGATTTGATGTTACTCCCGTGTGTGTCAAGGTCACCTGAAGGTCAGGTCAGGTCATTGACCTTTGGTGACCTCGGGTGACCTCGGTTCACTTTTTCGAGTTTTACATGTTTCTAGGCTAGTTTTTGGAGCTGAATTCGAATTTAGCAACCATTTGAACATTTACGAAGTAGTTTTGGTGACTTCGTAACATGTTACGAAGCTGTCAGAGGCGGTTGACACGTACTACGAATACCCGTCACGACGCCTACTGGTTGACCTGACCTGACCTGACCCGACCTGGTCTAAATGCTTCAAGACATCATCTGTGATCAAAACTAACACGATATTCGTGATCAGCACCCCGAAAAACCCCTTAGCAGCCACACTTTACGACTTTCTAACAGGTCCCGATTTTCCCGACTTTGGGTCATTGACCTGACCTGGAAGGTCAACCAATGACCTAGGACCTTAAAATTGGGTATCATCGGCTTGCTCTCGTCACGGGCAACACGCTCGTTTTTTCCGCGAAGCTCTAGCTCGATCAGGGGCCAAACGGCAAGGGGGGGGTCCAACCAATTCAGCCTTGCGAAACGAGCTCCTATTGGGTAAGAATGGGTCACATTCAGATAGCACATCGCTGAAATTCCCTACAATGGGTGGAGTAGAGCTTTTTCAGGAAAATCGGTGCGGCAAACATTCGTCAAGCCTACAATGTCCAATTGCTAAGATACATAAAATGCTACACTGATTCAACCCCTTTCAATACAAAGATAATATTTTGCATTCCACAGACATTGCAACCCTCCTCGATGCGAAAACGATTGATTTGCAAAGCAGCAAAGTCATAAATTAGCTGAAGTTAGTGGGGCAAAACGCATATTGGTGGGGCAAAATGGCAAGTTGGTGGGGCAGCCGCCCCACCAACTGCATAGGAAGCTCCGCCCCTGCTCCCTACTCGCAACTGAACTAATCGCATTTAAGCCAAAAATAGTCTCAGCTCAAACGTTCCCAGTTCGACCCGGCAGTTCACTGCACTGGTCTGGAAAACGGTCGGTCGATCCTACCACCGAGCAACAAGGTTGAAGGTCCCGAGAAAATGGAGCTGAAAATGACCAGTCATGGTCGGGCACCAAGCAACAGCTCTCGCCAGTCGGCGTGTGTCACCAGGGCATCTCGTATTGACCCGGACGCAACAAACGGTCGGGCGACGCCGATGGATGCTCCCCGGACAGCCTGTATCACTTGTTCATCAATGTGCTCGGAGTTGCTGTTTAACAGGAGCCGTCCCACTGGCCAAATCTGGCCAGCCGCACCGGATAACGCCTCTTCCAGTAATGTCAAACATCGCCTCCATGAATAATGCAAGCCTTGCGCGCAGTCACCTGCCTGCAGAGACCAGAGCGGCCGCCCGAATTAACATGCAAAGGGTTGGAGCCGTCCACTGCATCATCCGCTATACACGGCAACGGTTAACCCGCGCCCCGTAGGGCTACCGGCGGACCCTACCACCCGTAGGGGGGGGGGGGGGCCGTTTCGGCCCCCCCCTAAGATCTCGGAAAGTTACCGGCCGATTTTCAAAATTCAAACGGCGTTTGATAGCCCTACCCGGGAACTACCTTGTGACCAAATTTCATTGACCTAGGTCAAACCGATGACGTCACAGGTCAGGTCAAAGGTCAGATTTTCACCGTTCACAGGCAATTCAAGAAATGTGCTGTGAAATCGAGTAAATTGGTAATTTATTGAAAACCATCGATGGTATATTGTTCGTCAAACACATACTTTGCTATCTGAGGTCACTGATACCAGGTCAGGTCACAGCGAGGTCAGGTCACCGGGGGTCACAATATGAATGTGTCGTGTGATACATGTTTTATGGTCCATTTTACATGACAAATGCGATTATGTGGGTTAGGCAGCCTTTGGGGCCAGCCTAGGTCACGTTTTGGTGAAGGTCAGGTCAAGGTCAGGTCAAATTAGGTCAAATTTCAAAGTTGATATTTTTGCATAAAATGGGTATCCATTCGATGCAACTCGTCACGGGGAGTCTAATGGTGGTCTTTGTTTTGCTCTACGAGTTCTAGAATTGCCAAAAATTGAGTTTGAAAATTTGACGTCATCATTTTTGAACAGTTTTTTCGCTATAACTTGGCCAAAAAACGAGGTATCGATCTGAAATTTGGTATGTAGATAGAAGACGGTAGGTACTATCACATATATTCCGGTTTTTTCGAAACTCAAAAACCTTTTTGGATTTTTTGGCTAATATATCCAAAAAATTGCTTTTTTGATTTTTGGGGATCAAAACTAAAAAATTTCAAAAATCCGAGATAGCAGTTTTGTAGCCCTGTCAATTCTACACCTTTTATGTCTTGATCATTTTTCTGTATCTTCAAAGCTGTAGGCCTGACAGGTCTTCTCGCGAAGGTCTTTTTTCGGTCGAAAATGACAGAACATGACGTCACTCTGACGTCATTTGTGGCCAACCTATCACAGCCTCTGGAATTTTTTTTGGTCACAATGTGTAAAATTGATGCCCGGAGGGGTCCTGAAAGTTTGGTGGCGATATCTCCAGCCGTTTAGGAGATATCGACCAAAAAGGACAGGGGGGGCCGTTTCGGCCCCCCCCCCCTACGGGGCGCGGGTTAACAAGTGGCGCCTACATATGGCACTGGGTCTGCAGTGGCTTCAGGCCGACTGCAAACGACAGTCACCCTGTCAGTCGGGCGCTCATTAGGGTGAAATACGGCCGGTCGGAGCGGCAAACGATTTGTGCCTCCGACCGCGCCGGCCAATAGCCCTCTCTCACATTGCCGCATGATCCTTTACCTGGACACGTCCCAGGGGTGACCGCCAACAAATACAAACTAATGACGTCAGAGTGACGTCATCATGGTTCGACAGCGGCCGGGATGGGGCCGCCCACTCTCCGGCGATGTCCGTGGAGCGGAGGCAGACAGTTCCGGCGGGCGCTCAGCGTAGAAGTTCGACGGCGACACTACTCAGAAATCAGAAGAAAAACGTCCAGACAGTACGCGACACGAGTCGAATCCAGAACATTGCTAGAATTTATTAGATTACGGATGGTTCCGGAATCACAAGGAGACGCTGACCATATATATTCATGCCAGATGGAAAGGTCGCTTGTCAAAAGAGACCAATGCCACCCATCAGATAAGCTCGTCTGACATAGGTCGTACGTTTGCCATCATGAATCTCACAAATTCATGGAAGTCAATTGGCATGACTGTACAGCTTTCTCCAAACCTGATCCTATAATCTATATGACTCCTTCATTATCATTTATCTACGTAGCAAAAAAAAAATGCATGCTCTAGATAAGCCATATGATAATAGATATTGCCTATGCCTCGATAAGCAGTTAGCCAAGCCGCAACGTCCGGCAGCCCGCTTCAACCAGTTGGAAATAATTCATATCAAGATTTTCGGCGAACTGCGTCTGTCAAGCGTCTCTGGTATCTCTCAGCCCGGGGCGGTTCGTCTGCACCAGATCACCCGTCCAACTGCGTACCATGATCTGCTGCGTGACTGGCCGGGTCAGCCCTCCCCCCGTCTCGTTACCCGGACGTGCAGCCTTCTTGGTCGATGGTTTCCGGCGGCAATGGGCGTCAGCGGGGGTCGGAGCGGGCGGGGGGGGGGGCAGATACGGGGCGGCACGGGGGCGGCACGGGGTGGCATGGGAGAGACACGGGGGCGGCACGGGACGACACGGGGGTCGGAGCGGGGGTCGGAGCGGGCGGGGCACATATGGGGAGGCCGCCGCGCAGGGAGGCACGGGGCGGCCCGAAGGCGGCACGGGGATAGGCAGTAGGCACAGAGGCGGGGACACATTTGACCTAAAGTCGAGCGGCCGCCCCCGCGCAGGAGAGCTCCCTCCAAGTTATTGACTGGAAATTACGGCAGCCTTGTCGAGCAATGGATGCCAATCTCGGTGGCTGCGAGGTGGGGCTTACGGTGGATCCGGCCGGAGGTCCGCTCTCGGGTCACCAGCAGCGGTCGAAAGTCACCGGCCGAGCCTCAGAGCGCCGGGCGATATGAAAATTGTTGTACGGGAGCCGGCTGTGAAAGCTCGTAAGGTCGCGAGGTCAATGCTTTAAAATCGTGTTCGTGTTTGTGTCGTGTGCCAAAAAGATGTTTCTTTTGCAATTTGTCTGGCCGCGCTATTTCATTAAATCATTTTGCAATGAACACTGAACATGCTATTTTTGTGCACGGGACAGCTGACAAGCCGTACCTTCCCCGGAAGGCTTAGGCACAACATCAATTAGTGTCCCATAAAGAACACGCTTAACTACCCACCGCAATAGCAGGCATTACTTGAATCAATCACGGTAGGCGCGCCTACATTGTGAAATGCCGCCAAATGGACATTTCATATAAAATCTGGTTGTTGATTTAGTGGTTACAGTAACCACAACCACACACGTACAAATGGAATTGCCTGATCAATTCCACCATAAGCATGCCTAGGATTCCACAAATATTCTTACTAATTGTTTCTGTCTGTTTTTGCTTGCAGCGAGCGCAGCTGTCAGCGGCCGCAGAAGCCTGACCTCGTCACTGTCAGCTGGTGGACAGCTGCCTCTCCAGCATGGTCAACACCAGCTCCAGCATGTCCAACGTCAGCGCGCTGCTGGAGGCGGCCAGCTCCAGCGCGGCTCCGACGGCGTCCCAGCTGCCGCCGTACCAGTACCCCGAGTTCGGCGACATCTGGCCAGAGTGGTGGCTGCAGATCTCCGTCTACTCACTCATCCTCTTCCTCAGCGTGCTCGGCAACGTGCTCGTCTTCGTCACCCTCATCCAGAACACCAAGATGCGCACGGTGACCAACGTCTACCTGCTGAACCTCAGTATCGCCGACCTGCTCTGCGGCGTCTTCTGCATGCCCTTCACACTCGTCGGATCCATACTGAAGAACTTCATCTTCGGGAACGTCATGTGCAAGATTATTCCGTTCCTCCAAGGTGAGTCCCTGACGATCTGATGTCGTCCCATCTTTTATGTCTAGCTATTTTCCGCGCTCATCACAAGCTTTCATACCCATCTATCTCGTTCCAGGAAACTGTTTTCCTTATTTGTATTTTACGGCCGCCGCTCACTCACACCGCAAGTAAATTGCATCATGCTTAGTGTGCTGCCACATCCGGCTGTTCCGCATGTGATATACACACTCAGACACAGCCACTTAATTCCGCTCACACTCACAGCACAAACAGGCCTGTCACACGGCCAAGAGGGCCGTCTCATCGCAGTCATCGGATGGCGTCACCGGACCGAGTAGGAAACAGCTCCGTCCGGGTCCCGGGGAGGCAGGGGGCGCACAGGTCACGTCGTGTCGGGTCACTGTCGTATCGCGTCCTGACGTCATCAAAAGCAGGAGAGACGCGTGCCAAACTGATCTGTTCGGATGGTGGCAGATGGATGGGTCAGGGGCGGGGCCGATCGTGGGGGTCAGGAGGCGGAGCGGGTCGCGGGCAGGGCACGGCGGGCGGCGGCTGGGAGGACAAAAACGACTGATGGGTTCTGGTGGCACCGAGCCGCGGCGAAATTAGGCAGCGGATCCGACCGTGGGATGAAGGCACGGGTGCTGATAATGGTTTTTGCGGTAATGGCACGGACGGTGCCAAACTGAGCCACTGACATTGGCCAATGGCCGTGATGGTTCAATCGATCTGCTCCGTCGGAGATGAATCCGGCCCAGAATGGATCGCTCTAAAATTCTGCATCACTTTGGGAGACATGCCCTTCTATCGTTGTCATTCAAGACAGTGGTATCTTGAGAATGCTGTCAGGCTGATCGTGATGCTCTTTTGCATACAATGCTGTACAATAGATTAAGCACGTGTGAGCATTGTATGGAAAGTAAGGCAATCGTGCCAGTCATGTGCTTGTAGGCACACATCCATTGAGTCCGTTTGGCAAACCTCCCATGTAATTTAGTCTGCAACGTGTCGTGTGCAAGGTTTGCCCTGAACAAATGGCGGTACCGTATTTGTGAGCTCAACACCATGAGTGGGCGTTTGGAGATTTTCATCACATCCGCTGAGCATGTCTTTATTTTCCTCAGCTGTCACATCACAGATTTTATGGCTTTGGTGGCACATACGGTGGTATCAGCAGATCCATCTTCACATATTTGCACATTCATGATTCCTGGAATGGAATATTGCTCTAAACCCATGAGAGTATTATCATGAATAAATCGATATTTATCCCACCATCTTGCATTTTTCTTCCCGGCTTATGCCTTGTCTCTGCCTTCCGCCCATTGCCATTGAGATTCCGCTGCGGGGACGCGGTGTGGCGGCGCGACCTTTTGGGTCCGGCCGTGCCCTTCGACATCCTGCAGTGTCTCACTCAGTAGTCGCGCGGCGCGAGTGGCTGCTTCCTGTTCACATTTGTCCACAACTGTCGGCGGCCGTCCGGGTGCGTGCCGTCTCAGGAGAGCTGACGTGCGCAGCCGTCGACATACCCCGACAGCCGACAGGGCGACCAAGACAAGTGTCTGACAGTTTCGTGTCCCGCCGACGGCAGAGGTGTGCGTCCTGTCCCCGCTGTCCTTCCTCGTACCGCGGGAGGCGCCCTGGGAGCGCACGGTGTCGGCGACGACCTCGCCACGTCTCTCCGCGCCGTGCTGCCCGCAGCTCGCCTCTGTGCAGTGTGGTAACGAGCCGCCCCTCGGCAGACTCTCCTTGGTGAGCAGCGGCGCGGCAGGATAAAGTTGCGGGCTACTTTAGCTTCCCAGCGGAGTTCTTGGACCTGGATGACGTTTTTTGACGGATGACCTCCCTCAGGGCCTGTGCGATACTAACAGAGTGGGGAAGTTTTGTTTGACTTGGGTTTGTAGAATCCTAAATTAATTACAGAACTTAGGCGAGAGGATCAAGTGTCTTGTCTATGTATAACACCCAGACAATTAACAATTAACAGTGGAAACTATTAGCACGTATTTTCTTACAAAACACAACACGAAAGACGGCGTGTTTCTTACGAAACACGCCGTCTGTGATAATCACTAACGATGGAGACAACTGGAATAACAACCACCCTGTAAAGGATATCGCTACCAATGCAATTTTAACTCACATATTATTCGTCTCATCCGTCAAACAGTGTAACTCAATAATGCATTATCACTTCATTAATTTGATGCATATGCATAAAATGCTAGAGCAAAAACAGTAATAATTAAATCAAGAAGTATTTAGCTACTTTCCAAAGCATGACTTGTCTGCATTACTTTAAAGTACAATAGGTATTATAAAATTGGTGCATTAATTTCGCTTTTAAATTACGACGTTGGTTTAAATTTTTCACGGAGCTGACCGATAAAAAGCTGGTATCAAAACTTAAATTTATCTTGCTTAATCCAATCTGGTTGCAAAAACGTTAATGACATAGTCACACCAATCCCTATTTCCTCCTCCTTATTCTAAAAATAAACCTCACTACATTGTAGTCACGCCCGCGCAGTTCACTGGCAAGTGGCAGCAGCACGGCGCTGCATTGGACCTCCCACACATGTACCAAACTGGATACCAATATCAGCCCCGTGCGCCTCCATAGAGCCGAGATAAATGGTCCGCTGATCGTGGCCTGGGGTCGCTATACCGATCAGCAGGCACCGGAGAGCGTGCGGGGACCCCCCCCCCCCCCCACACACACACTGAGATCAGAGGGGGCCGGAGACCAGTTAGCAGAACCAGCTATATAAATGACTGGGACGGGTCTCCTGTTTCCTTGTCACTCCATTAGCTATATTAGAATGGATGGTCTAGCGTCTCCCTGGCGAATTTCATACGGCCTTGGCGAATTTCGTCTTAACCGGCTCATTGCTTTGATGTGCTGAATGCTTTGGCAGAAATTGCGTCAATGCTTAAGGCATCGTTTGTTAACCCGCGTATGACTGGGGTATTTTCCATAACGCCAGTGACTGGGGGGGGGGGGGGGACTCTCCAGAGCCCGCGCCCCCCCCCCCTATCTCCGAAACTACTGGCGCGATTGTCAAAAGTCAAACGGCGTCTGATAGCCCTGGAAAAACTATCGAACGCAAGCCATTTTCATTGACCTCGAGGTGACTGATGACGTCACAAGTCAGGTCAAAGTAAAAATTATCAGCATTTTTGCTTGTTTACCATTTAGGCTCTGACCGCCGTGCCGGCTGACAAGTTCGATCAGACTCATTTTTGGTTTACGCATACCTTGATATACATATGCTTCGAATTTTTTGAAACTTTTCGAAATAAAACTTCGAAGCTTTGAATTTTTCAGGTCAAGGCCAGGTCATCCTATTAGGTCACGAAAATTGTAAGTCATGTATCGGTCACGTTACGCATGTTTATGGTCCATTTTACTCGTAGATTTCGAAAACAATGTCGTATGTATCATTTGAGGTCATTTTTAGCTGAATTTACCAGAGGTCAGGTCACTTTCAGGTCAGAAAAGGTCAAATTTCGAAAATGAATTTTTCAACAAAAAACGACACCTATCAGATGCTGTTTGTGCTCAGGAACACGATGGTGCCGTTTATATTGCTATACCATGTCAAAAACGTACTAAAAATGGTTCTGAAAAAATATATATTACTGTAAAATATTGACAATAATGCAAATAACTTGGCTATTTTCAAAGATATTGGGCTAAACTTACTAAAACTTGCTAAATCAAAATCAAAATTCGAGATAGCAGTTTGATAGCTACACGTATTTGTAGTCATGCAAATATATTGGATCTAGCCTTAAAACTGAGCTCTTGAGAGCGTTTGCCGTAATTCAATATTTTGCATCAATATCGGCCGACATGACGTCACTCTGACGTCATTTTCGGCCATAGTGTGGTAGCTAGAAAGTTGGAATTTAAACACAAGGTGTCAAATTGATGCCGCTGAAGGTACCTACTGCAAGTTTTGTGTTGATACGTCAACAAACAGTTAGAAGATATTGCCGAAAAACGGGAGGGAGGGCTACCCCAGTCATGCGCGGGCTAACGAAATGCTTCATAAGACGCAACTGATTTACCTTGATATGTCTTCTGTAGGTTTTAGCACACTTTTCCATTCAAGTACTTACCTATCAAAACAATTTTCGTCTCGGTGTTCATTCGCCACTGAATGGTTCATGTCGATGTGGCGGCCTGCAGAATCGCACCACACTCATAACGCTGCGAGCCTGGCAAACTTTGCTGAATCAACACGGGGGTAGTGCTGTCCGGCCTGAACTTGGAGCCCCAGCATAGTCTCAATGGACCTCATGTGTGCACTTACTGTAACTTAGCTGCAGAGACGAGAGAGTCTGTTGAGAAGACCAAGTTTGATATGGCCTGAGAGTTCCTCAATCCTCATGTCATAATCATATTTCAAACATTTTCAAACCTGTGTGTGTTTGTGTGTGTGTCTGGTTCTGAATTTGGAAATTTTTCAATTTATTAATGTAAATGTATTTTCGTAAATTAATGTAATATGGCAAAGCTAGCTAATATGGCAAAGCTAGGCTACTTCAGCTGGAAATTTTCATTTTATTTTTTATTTAGGTGTTGGCGCATCGAGTCAAAGGAAGATCACACGCGGTCGGTTAAAACCTGAGGGGCATTGTGGAATGCTCATTCACTGAGAAACACTCACCATGGCTGGATGGCCGCAAATCCCCACTGTCTAATGGGTTAAACCCTGGGTAGATATATAGTCTCGCCGTGGCCACTCGTACCCTGACATATGCTGATGACAAGCCATTGGTTCAGATTTGTGATCACGTAAAACTCTTGTGCTGTAATCATCACGTCCGGCACCAACGCGTAGGGCTAGCGGTATCTGACCCAGAGCTGCCAGATTGAACATGTAGGACTGTAGGTAAACGTCGTACTGAAATGTGATATGCCAAGAATGAAAATAATACGCTGCTGTTGTGTTTTATCATGGATCACAATCAGCGATTCCAGTCGCAAAGGCATCGCTTTTATAGCTTGTGGC